CATCCTCAGAACAGACAACATCATCAACCAGCGGATTGATTGGGGTGATCCAGGCAAGTGACAAAGATGTTCGTGTTGAGGAGGGCAAGGTGTGTGCTCGACGAGCAATAAATGATACATGTAGATCCGATCAAGGCGTTCTTAGGTAAGGACAAAGTCTGGGCTCGAAGTCTGAAAGGCGCTAATTTGGATATAGGATCGCCCAAGCCACCAGTGCTTCCGAAGCACTTTTGTCCAGGGCTGGGAACGTGCTGTGCGCCAATAAAAAAAGAACCGGCGCAGGCCTCCTCCTTTTGGCTGGTGCCGCCAGCCATCTTGCTCCGGCGGCCGAGCCGTGAAAGTTGCGGCAGCATGCAAGCCACAACTTCAAAACAATGGCGGGGAGGGTGGTTTAACGTAAATGGGCTGGTGACAGCTGACCACACTAGCATGTAGCAATTCAGGATCAAATCAAGAGGTTACGGCGGGGGGAGAATTGGCCAGATGTTGTGTGCACACAAAAGATTCGCCTCATGACCAAGCTTGAGCATCTTAGGGCAGGGAAATTGGCATGGCCTCTCGCCCATCCTATCAGTCATTTTCCACCATATGCAGGAGTGGCAATATGGATCCCACCACACTCCAGGATTGAGCTGATGGTTGGGTAAGTGTGTACTCGAGTGTTTCTCAAGATCTCAATAGAGCGCATGATAGGGCTTTTATCCCCCCTAATCTCAATAATGAGAGAAGTCAATTCTGTTAGATATCAAAGGTTCAGCCCCAACAGGCATTTGGTTAATTCTTGTGGAGAGACTTCAACGCAGCCCCAAGCCCATCGAGTGCTCTACCTCTTGCAATGAAGATCACACGTTGTACCTCAATAGATTTTGTGGAAAACCAGTTATCTCCGAGTTTGATTAACCTTTCCAATCATCTCTAGTTTACTATAGGAATTTGGACATACAAGGGAAGAGGAACCCCCCTTCGCCGGGGATTAGGGATCATCTGAGGATTATACTGATTTCAATGCGTTTAGGGAAACCAATCCTACAAAGACGGAATCTTCCTACCCGCGACATACAACAAAAGGGCATTCTAGGACCGATTTAATTACGTTGTCAGAGGAACTTGAGGGAGCTATGCAACTGATGTCAGTTGGCCCGACAATACCCCACATGGCCCCGGGACATGATGAAGACAAGAGTCGACAAACTGAACACCTCGCTGCTGTCTTTATCTCAAATTTGTCAATACAAATATGAAAATACTGAACTTTTTGGAAATCGCAAAGAGAAAAATGTGCTTCTATTCACGCTGCAAATTTTTCCGACCCCGGTTACAGGGTCCTGAATTATCACAGTCCAACGCTCCGTACATTAGAATCTTAGGGCTTGTAGGGCCAGGCGTTGCAGACCGGTAGTCTACATTACCGTACAGTACCTGTAGGAGCACATCAAGTCCCCAAAAGTTCAATATGCAGCAGCCTCACATGAAAGTCGGCAACTTTCCCAAAATAGCAACTTGGCAAGGCAGAGGCTGAAGGAGGCCAGTATCGATTGAAGCAGGCACGACGACACGCACAACCCAGTGGAACGGGGGCAATCGTTCATTTGAATCATTTCACAAATTTGTGGAATTGCTGCTGGAGCTTGTGCAGACTAGCGACTTGGACGAAGAAGAACGTTGAAGGGAGGAGACAAAGTGTTTGCGGTCATAGCTGCCTGTTTGCTGTGAGACACACCGTAGAGGCATTTCGGCCCAGGGTAGATCCGGGACATTGTAGAGGGAGGAACAATAGAGGGGAGCATTGAGGGATGGACAGTGCACAAAGAGAGAGAGAGAGAGAGAGAGAGAGAGAGAGAGAGAGAGAGAGAGAGAGAGAGAGAGAGAGAGAGA